TAAGCATCAAAAAGAAGAAGGTGAATTTGAGGCAGTGAATGCGCCGGAAGTTATCTCAATTCAAGAGGAGCAGAAGTTGTTGGATCGATTGTAGCTGTTTGCTTTGGTTTATGCTCGGAGTTCGGGTCGATTATTGGAGTGTACAATAGATTTGAACAACGCGTTTGTTGATTTCCAAAGGAGAGCCAAGCTGAGACAAACGACAGTTTATGATTTTACTAAAAAATACATCTTTGTAATCTACAAAGTGATTTTGCATTTCTGTGTGGCACTGAACTGGACTGTGGGGCACTCGAATGTGGTCATTTTGGCAACAGTGGTCACCAAAGCCACGGTCATTTGGTCTATCGATGGGCTCTGCCGCACTAACATGCAAACGGGTGAACGATAAAAGCGATTGAGAGTGAGTGAAGTGAGATGTTAGATCCGAGCGATCGATAACCACTATCGCGCGGACGCGCCTGTGTGAATGAGTGAAAATACTCTCATTTGTCCTAGAGCACTGATGAAATTAGATAGATCATTTGCCAAAGGTCATCGTAACCCGGGTCTAAGGACAGTTTGATAGATGCACTTTTAGTTTATGAAGGCTGGCGTCTATAGCCTTCGGTCGGCTGAACAGGAATGAGTTGCTTCCAAGTAAACTCCCGCCTGCCGGAAAATATGCACGAGAACCCGCTTAGAAAAATAGTTCGTGTATCTTAGACGAGTCAAGCGTTGGTCCAGTGTCATCATCGCTTGAACTTTTTTGTTCCGAATCTCCCACATGGCCTATGATTCCATAACTGATTCTCTACCAACACTTAAGCAGCATCGGATTCAGAACTTATCCTTCTCCTATGTCGGCCGATGGGATTAATTTATCGATCGGTCGGATAGTTCAGTCGTAACAAGGGACTTGGTGTTTGCCCAGCTAACCCAAGCGAGGAACTACATCTTGTCTACAACCGCGAGCCTTAGCAGACCCAGTGAACTTCGGCTGTACAGCAGGCGTGCCTTCACCACACGGATGGACTGAAAGTGACAACAAGAGCATCACAAAAAGTACAAGACAATGTGAAAAGATGGGGTAATCAGACTATCGTACCATCCATATAGTAAAATGACATCTTAAATTGATACTCGGATATCTTAAATTGAAGAAGTTAGGGTTTATTAATCACCTTATGGCATCGCACCAACAACGGTCATGATGAACGCATCAATCGGTTTGAACATGCACTGGTAACAACAAAATCGGACGAACGAATAGACATCTACAGACGCTAACGATACACATTTTTCACTAGAAAATCATGAATAGATTGCACAACGAACAAGCAATTTGAATATGGGAAAGAAGTCAATGTTCTGAGTATACCCCGTAACAGATATTTCACTCATTTTAGATGTTATTTCCTTCTCACTGTATTCTAACTGGTTCACCTTTGTTTTCCTTGAATCGGTTAACATTGATGTGATTAATATAGCCAAAATGGTTCGACGTCATATAATCAATCCTGTGGTTAGCCTCACATTGCTACGGAATGGAGGAGTATCTGGAATTATTATGGGATGATTGGGTCATAAAAAGTTACCCTGAAGAAAGGTAGGTAGGTTCGGCATAACTAGACACTTGGAAGTGAATACCGCATGCAATGTACCGATAATAAGCTGAGGGCGTCATAAAAGGTTTAAATTTCTTCGATACATAAAGGATACGCAGGACGGTAGATCTAAATTCAGTTATAAATAAACAGATTATAATTATAAACATTGGGAACAACTAACAGGATTAACCTACTTTTCATCAGTCCGGGTTATTTTGTTACAAAACTGTCAACCGATTTTTATACTACTTATTAGTATCTACTACTGTTTACTCTATGTCGCAGTTAATAGAATTCACGAGGGGTGCGACATGGCAGGAGATTGACTGTATTCTCTCGTACTTATGTCAAGCAACTATCCTATCAGTATGATATGGGTTGAACATCTTGTCCTTTGGAGGGAATAAATTATAAACGCTGTGATAGCACAAACCGAAATTCTCAATTCCCAACAACTGAACCACTTTGATCGCTGAGAGATACATGCAAACAGAAATCCATTTCGAGAGGCATTTAACATCAGTTTGTGTTCTTGTTTATTGCGTGCAAAGTATTGTAACAAGCGAGGAATCGGTTGACCTCATCTTGAAACGACTATTGGTCTCACTGTCGACCAAAAAATCGATGCACCAGTGAAAAAATGTTGTCACATATTTCGTTGTCCGTTCATGAACTGTCCTAATGTTGGATTGATACAAGCACGTATATACCTACAACACAACACCTGTTAGGTGAACACACACATACACAACCATGTGATGTGTGCCGCGCAAATTTGCGGATCGATTGATACCCTCTCGCATCATTCTGTGGGTCAGCTAACAGGATGGTAATGTGACGGGAATAATGATAGGTCTGACATCGAACCCGGCAGCAAAGAGAAAGGAAATCGATAGTTGAAGTTGCGAAAAGATTAATCATCAGCCGACCAACGGTCGTTACATCTGTTCCCGATTAGATAAACAAGAGAGAGAAACAGAAAAGTAAAGACAACAGTGGTTATTCTTTCATTGTTTTCAGTCCTTAGAAAAAGCAGCTACTCAGATGGTGGATACAGCCCTGCTCTTGTTTCCTTGTAGTTCTCAATCACACACAACAAAAAACATTTAAAAGGACAGATCGATAATCGAAGAAATATTAAAGCCAAAATCATCTTGCTGATTAGGCCTTTGAACATGAGTATGTTGCAAATTGGAGGGAAGACAGAGAGCAGTGTTTCACATTAGTGCAGTTCTTAAAAAAAGGATGATTAAAGGTTAGAAAAGTGACACATAGGACGGTCACTTGAAATGGATGGTTTTTTACCTGTGTATTCAAGGATAATCTTTCCCATGAGCATCACCCACTTGGTCAACCCCTCCACCTAGACTCATGGAATACAAAAACATTATGAACGTTTCCCGTAAACACCCTCTGATTACATTATAACGTAATTACCAGTATACCTCTCCAGTGAAATAACTACCATGCGCGTTATAGTGATCCTATCAGCAAGACCAGGCCGTGACAACCAAACGGTCTAGAATAGCAATACAAAGTGTAAGCATAAGAGTCAATAGTGAGATCTGATTCAGTTCAGTTCATGAAAGCAGTGGCCATGCACTTTCCTATGACAGTTCTAGGTTGCTGTCTTATGTTTACCGCATTTGAATGGAGTAGAGCGAAGATTAGTGTCAGAAGCAATAACAATAAGAATGCAGAGAATATGGGTCTGATTTGTCTCATCTGATATGCTCGTTTTAACGTTTGGATATGAAAAATGAAAATGTTCAGTTACATAAATAAACCAGAATTAGTCGTACAGGAGAACGAAGTTTCTGATTGGCGCGTTTGACTGACATGAAACCACCCTCTCTTTCTATCACGAGCGTACGCGCACAATTACGCACCCAGTGACATCGAGCTTCAAGCCAATTGTAGACTCTGAACTCCGCGAAATAAACACACGGTTTTCACACATCGAAGAAAAGAAAGCACAAAAGGTAAGCGAACCTGCGTACAGTTTTAAACATGACCTACTTTACAGCCTTGAATGAGTCCCAGTGTCTCCCGAGCACACTCGACCAGACGAACCAGTTCAGCTTCCGATTGTATGGCATGCTTGTGACTGACTTCCTCTTCTGTTTCGGCTAACCTGCTTAAGGCTTGAGCCAGTCCCGTGTGTTCCTCTACATTAGCCAATTGGGCGATTGAACGAGAAACTAGGAATTTGGCATTGGATAAATCTGAGAACAACGAGGATGGAAAGAAAGATTGTATGGATTAAGCGAATGGTGAGAAACAATCTGCTTTGGGGAATGGCGAAAGCAAACGCAGTGGCATAATAACTGTCTTCAGACAACTGATGTTCAGGCAAACAAGCAAACGCAAACATTTGCCTGTTCAAGACCCTCAATCTCTTGCTCCGGCATGCTTTCAGTATGTGAACGACGTCAGTCATATGCATTTTAGCGATGCAGCTTAATCGGACAGATAATATTCAAGCTAGGTTGTTCGGCAGATTGAAATGTCATGTTCTAATTATGAAAAGCTCAGCAACCTCGGTAGGACTGGAACAGACACATAAGCCTTTGTACAGCGCACGCTTTGTAAGCCGACCTACAAGGCCGCACCGATGGCACTGATCTTTTCATAGTCAGAACATGATAGCTCAGTCCGCGAAACAACCTAACTTGAATAAGCAACTTCGCCTTAGAAGCTCATTCGGTGGATTCTGGCGAATATTAAGGAATGGCTGCTACGGCAGTCGGCTTGCATGCTACCTGGTGGTATTTACTCGTTTTTCAAGCGAAAAATTGATTAAACAAAAACTCACGAACATTTGACAACCACATTTGTTAGAAGTTACTTTGACTATGTGGCCGAAGTAGGTGAAAAATGACAGGACAGTCGGTTGTGCTGTGCTGCGACTTAGTGGTTTGTGTAAAGCAAGCAGTCACCGCGCTGATAGACGCAAGTTGCTTATCATGTCGGCTTACGCACCTAAGGATTGCAGCCCAGAAGCGGTCAAATATAACCTTTATCGAAAACTGCACCACCTGTTGCATCCAGATAGTGGGGCCTTCATAACCGAAGGGTAAATTCTCGAGCCCACGGGGGTCATCTCTTCTGTTGTTTATCACAGAGGGGGTGGCAGCGAACGACAGGGTGAACATATATTGGTGGAGGTTGAAACTAGAAAAATCACAACAATGATAGGATTGCACAAGAAAAAATCACTGCTGATCACTAAAATGAAACAAGGCTTTTCTTACCTTGATCGGTAGTCACCAAGGAAGTGAGTGCACCATGCAAACGTTTCAGCTGTCGCTCCCAGTTTTCCAACTCTTCCGCCTTCAACTCGAAGTACTGTGGAGGAGAGTATTATCAAAACAGAAAGACGACAAAATGATCAGGGTGAATTGAATGTTTCGACAGACTAACTTGTATGCTAACACGTTTTAATTTTTGATTCTATGGTCAGCATGGTGCCCTGAAGTGGAACCATTAAAGTTTAGCAACGCATTGTCATGAACTAGGGTTATTTATAATTTTGATGAAAAAGTGCAAAAGATTTACGATTTCATACTGAACGGTGGCTCATGACGCTGTAAGATTGCGGCAATCATTATTGGTGCTTACTGAATAAAGAGGGTTTGCTCAAAAACAGAATTCATGAAGTTCGTTTATTCAGCTAATATTATCGCAAGGAAAACGTTAAACATTTTATCCACTCAAAGAGACACTATCTGCATGTTAGCAAGTAGCTGTTAGCGAAGTGCATATAAACGTTTACATAGTTTATCTAGAGCACACGGAGACAGATGTCAATCTACCATAAAAATGCGAAAAAACGCATGAAATCACAAGGGAAATGATGGATAGAAATGGGTAAATAGCTATTTGATTAACGTACTATAGGGCTCCATTCAAACATACGATCTATTCAAAACTTGTCACTGGACAGTTTGATTGTAATATTGACGGTCAAAACAGAACGAAACAGAAAGACAACGCGGTAGCTAATTGCTTTGATAAAAATAACCTTGTCAAGCACAAGCGCCGATAGTGAGCCAACAACGTGTGAAAGTATTCAGGATCTCTGAGAGTCTATTGATCAGGGCATCAATCGTCTACAACAACATAGCATTGCAAGAATGCTGAATAAGGGGCGTAGACCTGTTTCGTTGGGTCCCCTGAGAAATGGATTCTCCGATTTGCGAAGTTAAAAGGTGAGTATACAGTGCAAAGGTGGTGGAATCAGTAAACGTCTAAGCATAAACGTAAGGCTCATTCATCATACCTTTGAGAAAATCAGTAACATTTTTTGTGCAAAAGAAATCAGTCTAGGTTACCTAGACATTCACCGGTAGACAAAGATTATAAATCAACAACGAACCATTGTGAATTACTGACAAATCAACACACGTGAAGGAAGCGATATGCCGCGGGATTATACTAGTAGTCCGGTTAGGGGCATGGACATGCGACATGTCACTAGAAGCGAACGGCTATCAAATCGAAATAAGGATGTTATCTGTATGTGCTGTTTTAGAGATGAATATGCAATTTTTTGATACAATAGTAAGACGAAACATGAAGAACCTGTACAACGCAGTTGGACAGCCTGTGTGTGATGAAAGGCGAATACAGAACAAGCACGTGGTAAAAAGCGGAGATGAAGTGGGCAGCTAGCGCACAGCTACATGCGATGAGCATTTAAAAAATATGCAAAACCCATTGACTAATACAACAATGATAACAATTATGGAAAATCGGCAATGAAGAATAGATTGGGAATGCCTATCGCATTCCTGTGTGAACATTTTGGCCATGCTACGCGGTGTTGAAATACATGCGGACAAGTTGCAATGGAGACGTTTAGGGAGAGAGCGCAATCGCAATTACAAAAACGGGTTACAACTATTAGACAACATGTAATATACGAGGAAAGGTGAATTTCGTTTGCATGCTTCCGAAAAACAACATTAAGGCAAGGTGCGATTAGTTGGTGACGCGGAACTACTGCCAATCCGTCCGTCAGTTTGTGTTACTTACTTCATCGACCAGACCCTGAAATATGGATTGACTGTCATCACCTAAATGCGATCAAATGAACGCCCAATTGCACAGATAAAACCATCGAGCGACGACATGGGTTTGTCACTGAAATTAAGACTTATTCTCATTACATTCGGGGTTTTCACCCACCGGTGTTGCTCACTGAGTGACAGAACTACAAAGTATCCTAGAGGACTGATGAGCGAAAATACAGTGCTACAACTTAAATCCTGTAAACTTATACCATAAGCAAAATCTCACCTAAGTTTCTCATTCATAATCCAATTTTTGGATGCAAAGTTCGCAATATAGTCAGTGATGAGCAAAACTGTATGATTCACCGGGTGCTCAGTCACTAAATAAAAATGCCCTCGTGATGGTTTGCGTGCTGAAGGCAATCGGTGATCGTAGTAAAGGACTGGGAGCGACAAACCATATTTAGACGGGACAACAGTTACCCACAAAGCAGGAATGCTGGTGAAGGCGGGAAGCAAAACTACGATTGCTGGATATTTATTCATTTAATAGTGTCCAATAAATATGAACCAATCTCTCCGCGTTTTAAGTAAAAGGGAAGATTGAATATCACAACCAGAAGCTGTAGAATCAGTTGAGCTTTCATTTGAAATTTCAACTTCAATTTTTTGAAGTGAACAATTGATAAATTAAAAGCATGTTATTCGGCTGGTGCAGACGGTGGCTCTTTGCACACCGAAAGTGGATATATTGGATATCACATAGGACAGATGTTTAACAGGTCACTAGCACTTCTTTTACTTCAAGTTTGTAACGCTCGAATAAGTGCTATACTGAAAACGATCAACACAGTCTGATCAATAATAACCAAAAAATAAATCTGATACAACCTCATACAATGTGTGAATAAATGATGGATACACTAATATACCAATCAGAGACCAAATGAACCTAAAAAATATGCCTCCTCAGTGCGAAAACTTCTCATCGGTTCCACTGCTTAAATGGTGTTAATTTCAACTGACGATCACGACACCATCAATAATGAGCTCCAAGGCGCTTCGTAGTGATTGAATGGGGATATGTTAACTTATTGATAAGATGAACAATTAATCATTTACAGAGGTATTACAAAAAACGGAGTTGAAAATACGAGAATATTATTTGCCCATGGTGTAGTGGGCATGCACCAATAAATCCAATTTCCTGCCACATCAACTGATATAGTCACATCAGGTAAACCCTTTATGCACATGGATGGGCGAACACCTGATAGTTAGGTGCATTTGGTAGTCAAGTCTACAAGCCTTGAGCAAGCAACAGAATAATAAGTAGCGGTACTGCATAAACAAGATGATAATGTTGATTGTCTAGCATAGAAATATTACTGCGGACATGATAACGGATATAGTATTGCCAATCAATGTCATGAAACCCTGTATTTCCTCCGAGCCTTTGCACTTTCTCGACATTCACCGATCAATCTCAACCAGTTCAGTTTCAGTTTTTTAGTTTTTACAACCATTAACCATGCACTTTCGTGCGCCGGTTTTGGTTGCCCATTTGGATAAAAGAGCGAAATGAAGATTGGATCGAAATGAAGATTGGAATCAATCTCAACCGGGACCGAAAATATATAAACGTGTCTCGTAACGACACGTGAACTAACCGCAAGCCCATACAAGGATCGAGAGGTCTTTTAGTCTCAATGCGCAGCAGAAATGGGAAATGCCCGCAAGCTGATTCATATCATTCGGGTTTGCGGTAGGAAGCACTAGGTGTGACCGACAGCAAGTGAGTGGAGCGAAAGTCGCTCAATGTACACCAGGTAAGAGGACTAGAGGGACGCGTTTTGAGGGAGAAACAAAAGGGAACTGCTTTGGTCTACCCAGAGCATGTGGTCTAGCTGTCAATACACGCCTTGTTAAGCATTCAAGCCTGAGAGAAACGAAAAAGATTTCACCGCCATATCCTTCCGTCTCCAATATACCAATCTTTTGGACTCCAGCTGGGAAAAAGGGGAAACACTTACCACCCAAAGAGGAACTGACGATGCAGTCTAACATGGATACAAAACGTCTGAAAACACTTTTGGTTTGGAGAATCCCCACTAGCACTTTACCTGGTCTCTCTCGCGCTTCGTCTCCAAGTTCTCTGTTGGTCTACTCGTGGTTTTCTCAAGTCCGAAGCGACAACCCCAAACGAGGCGAGGTGCGGCAGCAGACTTGGATATGAGCACAAAGTGTCTTCACCGGCGGAGTCTACTCATTCGAATACGGTGATACTAAATTTTTCATCGAAACGTACGAAGGTTTATCTCCAAATGGCTTACATGCTCGCACCATTCTGTTTACATAAGAGTACTTAAACACCGATTTTCGGAACCTCAAGTAGATGGACGTCATCTAAATGAAAGTTTCACAACTGTAAAGCAGAACAGAACGCACAGTGGCGCAATAAACGCGACCTGTAAACCTCAAAGAGAAACATAACTTGTTAGTCTTGTGCGTCACCGACGCATCCGAACAGACAAACGATGTAGTCAGCGTGCTCTAAATTATGCCCATCACGACGAGACTGCACTTCGATGTGGTGTGATGGCTTTTGCACCTCTCTGACCCAATGAGCTATACGGGATGGGTTTTGTCAAGCCGCAGATCTAATCATGTCTGGAAGGTCAATGGATAGAGGTCAGACGAAGTCCAGTCTCCTGGTCCTCCAAGTTAGGGGTTCGACTCGAGTAAGCGTCACAGTCGGTAAAATGGTAGAGGAGTAATCGATCCAAGTAAATGGGCCTCCACTTCGCTTTACCCGCTGCCTTGCGGTCAGGTTCTTGTCAGAACTAAAGGATTTGAACGAGAACCCTAATCGTTCTCCTGCTTAGTGGTTGAACATCCTGGCAGTACCCGTCCATCAAACTCAAATGCATACACAACCAAAAAATA